TACGGAAGCAGACTGCCACATCTTTATCCTGCAGAGCAGCTGGTGAGTTCCAACCGCCGACCTTTTGGTTAGCAGTCGAGCGCTTAACCACTGTGTCACACCTGTATAATAAGGCAAGAAAAAGACATGAAATGCATAAGGATCAGAAAGTAAGAAATGCAATTCATTATGCACAAATTACATGATTGGTCAAAGAAAATCCAAAAGAATCTTCAGATAAATTTTGAGAATTAAGAGAGTATCAGCAAGAATATGGAGTACAAGATCAGTATACAAAAATCAGTTGCATTTCTCTATACTAACAACAAGCAACACTTAGAAAAAGAAAAGAATTATAAAGATACCGTATAAAATAGTTTCAAAAATATCAAATGCCTAGGAATAAGCCTAATAAAAGATGTATACCTCTACACCAATAACCATAACTCATTATCAAAAGTATAAAACCCATTGCCATCTCCAGTCGATTCTGACTCATAGCAACCCCACAGGACAAAGTAGAACTGCCCCATAGGGTTTCCAAGGAGTTGCTGGTGGGTTTGAACTGCCAACCTTTTGATTAGCAGCTGAGCTCTTAACTGTTGCACCAGCAGGACTCCATCAAAAGTATAGAAGATCTAAAGAAACATGTATGCTTTGGAAGACTCTATATTCTGAAGATGTCACTTCTTTCCAAATTCACTGGGTTTAATGCAATAAATAGATTCGAACAATCCCAATAAAAATTCCAGTAGATTTTTGTGAAAACTGACGAGCTGATTCTTAAATTTATATGGAAATGCAAAGGGTTAAAAATAGCTAAGATAGTCTTGAAGAAGGAAAGGAACTATGGAGGAATTCATCTAACAAATATCAAGATGTATTATAAGACAGTAAGAGTGTATATTGATAAAAGGAGAAACAAAAGGACCAGCGAACCAAAAGAGAGAGTTCAAAAACTGATTAGTATACATACATGGACTCTTGATTTATGACAGGTGGCATTATTTCAATAAGCCAGTATGGTAAATATTGAGTCAATTTGGTAAAAGATGAAATCTGACCCTTACCACATACCGTACAGAAAGATCTATAACAAGTGAATTGTAGACATAAATATGAAATGTAGAACAATAAATCTTCCAGAAAATAGATGATTCTATTCTGAGCATTAGGATAGGCAAACATTTCTTAATATTTAACCCAAAAAGCACTATCTAAAAAGAAGATTGACAAATTAGACTACATTAAAATTAAGAACTTCCAACTACTCAAAGATAGTGACAAAGTAACAGTGAAAGCCAGAGAAGATATTTGTAGCCTGTATAACCAACAAGGATGTCCTATCCAGAATAGATGAATAACTCCTACAGATCTATAAGAAATAGATAACCAAACAGCAACGCGAACAGGAGACTTAAACAGACCCTTCACAAAAGAGGACATCCAAATGACCAATACAGATATGAAAAGGTAACATCATTTCCTGGCACTTTAGAAAACTATTTGGAATTATCTACCAAAGCTGAACATGCTGAATACTTACGAGCCAGCAATTCCACTTCCAGGTAGAAATGCATACATCTGTGCATATGTACCAAGACACATGTACAGGAACGTTCATAGCAGCTTGTATGTAAATAACATTGCAAAATGTCCATTCAAGCAATGAAAATGAACTAACCACTGTGGTTCTATTTATATAAAGTTCAAAAATAAACAAAACTAATCTACGATGATAAAAATAAGAGCACTGATGACTTGCTCAGGAGGTTTATATATGCGAGGGAATAAGGGGGTTTGAGGGTACTGGTAATACTCTCTTGAACTCAGTGGTGGTTATAAAGGTAATTATAATTATTTATATTGAGCTACATACGTGTATCATATGTACTTTTATATATGTCTGCTATATTTCAATAATTTAAAAACTATTCTTAAATATTCTTATTGTGATATAGCAATTCTTACTCATTAAATACAATTTTTACCCATTTTGTCAGTTGATTTTTTTCTATTGCAGTGTGCTACAATTGTTGGGAAAAGTCTTATGTTAACTAATACATACCATAGAGTCTCAGGAAATCATACTTTTGACCCTAAAAATGTCTAGTTTGAAGAGACATTTTATCAGACGCATGCTTTTTAAAATAATATTTTAATTCCAAATTTATACGTCTTCTATGGTTCCAGACATTTGTCTACACCTGCAGTTATCAATACAAGTAAAATATATATAGTTTTGTAAAAATGAAATGTGATCATACTTTGCGTATTGTTTTGTGATTTCTTTTTACACCTAAAGTATATATTTGAAGTTGTTCTATTTATTTTTAAAACCCAAATGTCTATGTATCTATCTATATCTCTGTCTATCTAATGTATTTATTTATTCTTATAAAGTACATGTTAAGACATTTAAACTCAAAAGATTTTATAGTAGAAAGTAAATTTCTCTTTATCCCTGTTCTCCCCATCCCCTCTTCCCAGAATTATGCACACTAACAAATTATTTTTTTTCTTTTTTCATCTTTCCGTAAATTCTCTATGTGTATGCATATGGTTTTTGCTTGTTTGCTTTTTACAGTGTTTGAGATCATACTTTTTTCTGCAACTTTCTTTTTACATTAATAAAGTTTTATCATATTTACATGTCAGTACATAGGTATCCACTCTGTTCTTTTTAATGGTTGTGTAATATTCCAACATAGAGAAATTTCATAATTTATTTAAATTTCTTCCTACTAATAGGTATTTAGATTTTTCTAGTTTTTGTCATTACAAAAATGTTGCAACCACCCATCCATCCACCCATCCATCCATCTGTCTCTTCATGAATTCGAGAGAGTAGATGTATAGGAATTGCTGGGTCAAGGGTATAAATATTTTTTGACATTGAAAATAACTTGAACAATACCTTTATTTTTGTGGGTAGTCATTGAGACTTGGATGCAGCATCATGGAAAGAAAAATAAAAATAATTATATCAATAGTTAAAGACATCAAAATGGGAACCAATGACTCTATTAAGGCAGGTAGTATATACCTGTTAATGGTGTGGGATTTTAGTAGAAATGAATGCATATGGGAGATAATTTACCCCTATCTCAACCCCATAGCCATATGATCCATTAATCCCTTAGTAGTTTTCAAAAGTTAAATGTCAAATATAGAATGGACAAACAGCTTAAATAAAACAATGGCCAATATTCACAAACAAATTGTAACAGACTATGATTAAATCACAGATTTGTAATACTTACAGTCAAGGAAAACCTTTCCCTGAGATTCCTTAAAATAGGAAATTGGCTTCTCAGGATTAGGCCACGTTTACTCTGAAAAGCCATCATCATCAAGTCATGCTGTTCTAAGGAACTGAGTTTTTCTTCTAATGGAGGATTGTTGATCATTTAAGTCCTTACCTACTGCTGATACGGTTCTTAGTTTAACACCAGGACATGAAGGTATCAGAAACTCTTAGAAACGAAGCAGTGGACACCATCTGTATTAACATGCTCCTAAGGTAGTTGAATTAGGAAAAGAACCAATAAAATCTCTTCTTTACAACCAGAAAATTAGTACCCACACTCCTTGTTAGTTACCTACTTCATGCATCAAAATAAATTCTTTCCTTGGAATAATACAAGACGGTAACTAGTAAAATAACAGAGGATATGGGTGGAAATCTTGATTACTGAATGACCTTTAGTCTTTGTGGATAATAGCTAATATTTGAGTGCTCATTACATGTTCTTATAAGTGCCTAATTTGTGCTATTTCATTTACTCCTCATAACAACCCTATGAGGTGGATGTTACAGTAAACATCATTTTACAGACTGCTAACAGGTAGTGTAGGAAGGCTAAGCAAAGCCGATAGCTGGTGAGTAGCACTTCGTTCCATTGTGTGTGGGGTCGCTATGAGTCAGGGGCCAATACCACAACAGCTAACAACAAAAAAATCATCACTTTCATGTCCAGTCCGTCCTAGCTGTGGTCTCACTGACTTCCACAGATAGCCCTCAAAGCTGAATCCCAATTGCTTCTCCTAATTACTGATCAATCTGTAACATTTAGAATCCTTTACAACTTAATTTTCTGGCTCAGTCCTCCCCTTTTCCAGCCATACTATTTTGTTGTTGTCAGCTGCCATTGAGTCGGCCCTCAACTCACAGTGACCCTGTGTGTGACAGGGTAGAACTGCTCCATAGGGTTTTCTTGACTGTAATCTTTACTGAATCAGATCACCAGGTGTTTTCGTCCATGGAGCCACTGGGTAGGTTCAAACCACCAACCTTTAAGTTATCAGCTGATCGTTCCACTCAGTCTTCTTCCAGCCATACTATACTATCTGAAGTTCTGTAAATAAGCCCTGTATATTTTACACCTCCAAGCCTTTGTTTATTCGGTTTCTCTCCCTGGAATGGGAGCCCTGGTGGCGCAGTGGTTACGAGCTCTGCTGCTAACCAAAAAGACTAGCAGTTTGAATCCACCAGCCGGTCCTTGGAAACCCTGTGGGGCAGTTCCATTCTGTCCTATAGGATTGCTATGTGTCGGAATCAACTTCACGGCAATGAGTTTGGTTTTGGTTTTTTTGGGTTTCTTCTTGGAATATACCCTCCCATTTTATCCAACCCCTTTGCTCTTCTTTTTCCTATCTATGGTGGTCTTATTTTTCAGTACTCTCTCATATATCTTTCTGTATTAAATGTTTCCATTCCTAACCAGATTTCAAATGTTCCTCTTTTAAACAGCTGTAACATTTTGTTTATGTCTCTCTTGGAGCTTTTATTATAAACTTCCTTGCAGAAAAATCGTTTGTGTTCTTGTATTATCCATCTTATTCTTTCCTATTAGACTGTAAGCTCTTTGAGGGGCAGAACTTGGAATTCTGTTTTAACCCACAGCAGGACCCATCATATTCTTGCAAATACTAGTCAGTTAATAAATATTGGTTGAATTAAAAATAAAGGATGTGGCCCCCAATGGAAGTTCAAAACATGAATGTTTGTGTTCTTCCAGGCCAGCAGGAGCATGTCTCTCTGACTTGTCATCTATTGTAAAGGACTCACCTGATTAGGTAAGGCCAGCCCAGGGTAATCCCTCTTTTGATTACTTAAAGGCTGATTATTCACCTAATCACAGGAGTGATATCCCATTATATTTACAGGTTTCATCTGCATTCACAGGGAGGGGATTATACAAGAACATAACACCAGAGGGAAAAAAATAATGGGGACATCTTAGAATTCTGCCCTGTTCTCCATCTTCATGGTATATCACAACCCAGTGGTTGTCAAAGGGTAGTTCCTGGACTAAAAGCATCAGCATCACCTGAAAATTGTTAGAAATACAAATTCTCAGACCCAAACCCAGACCTACTGAATCAGAAACTCTGAGGGCCCAGTAACCTGTGTGTTAACAAGCCCCCCAGGTGATTCTGTTACGTACTCAAGTTTGAAACCCACCCCCTCACTCACTGGTCTTTAATTTTAACGCTATACCGTAAGTAATTTGCTCCATACTATGCTTTGATCAAAAAAACAAAAGAAAACACACTGTTGTTGTTAGGTGCCATCGAGTCAGTTCTGACTCATAGCAACCCTGTATACAACAGAACCAAACACTGCCGGGTCCTGTGCCATCCTCACAATCGTTATGCTTGAGCCTATTGTTGCAGCCACTGCATCAATCCATCTCATTGAGGGTCTGCCTCTTTTTCGCTCATCCGCTACTTTACCAAGCATGATGTCCTTCTGTAGGGACTGATCCCTCCTGATAATATGCCCAAAGTGTGTGAGATATAGTCTCACCATCCTTGCTTCTAAGGGGCATTTTGGCTGTACTTCTTCCAAAACAGATTTGTTTGTTCTTTTGGCAGTCCATGGTATATTAAGTATTCTTCGCCAACACCATAATTCAAAGGCATCAATTCTTTCTCCGTCTTCCTTATTCATTGCCCAGTTTTGCATGCATATGAGGTGACTGAAAACATCAAGGCTTGGATCAGGCACGTCTTAGTCCTTAAAGTGATGTCTTTGCTTTTTAACACTTTAAAGAGGTCTTTTGCAGCAGATTTGCCCAGAGCAATGTATCATTTGATTTCTTGACTGTTGCTTCCATGGGTGTTGATTGTGGATCCAAGTAAAATGAAATCCTTGGCAGCTTCAGTCTTTTCTCCATTTATCATGATGTTGCTCATTGGTCCTGTTGTGAGAACTTTTGTTTTGTTTTTTTTTACCTTGAGGTATAATCCATACTAAAGGCTGTAGTCTTGGATCTTCATCACTAAGTACTTCAAGTCCTCTTCACTCTCAGCAAGCAAGGTTGTGTCATCTGCATAACACAGGTTGTTTATGAGTCTTCCTCCAATCCTAATGCCCTGTTCTTCTTCATATAGTCCAGCTTCTCAGAGTATTTGCTCAGCATACAGATTGAATAAGTATGGTGAAAGGATACAACCCTGACACACACCTTTCCTGACTTTAAGCCACGCAATATCCCCTTGTTCTGTTTGAACAACTGCTTCTTGATCTATGTACAGGTTCCTCATGAGCACAATTAAGTGTTCTGGGGTTCCCATTCTTCACAGTGTTATCCATAATTTGTTATGACCCACACAGTAGAATGTCTTAGCATAGTCAATAAAAAACAGGTAAACATCTTTCTGGTATTCTCTTCTTTCAGCCAGGATGAATCTGACATCAGCAATGGTATCCCTGGTTCCACATCCTCTTCTGAATCTGGCTTGAATTTCTGGCAGTTCCCCGTTGATGCAGCTGCTTTTGAATGATCTTCAGCAAAATTTTACTTGAGTGTGATATTAATGGTATTGTTCAGTAATTTCCATATTCAGTTGGATCACCTTTCTTTGGAATAGGCATAAATACGCATCTTTTCCAGTTAGTTGGCCAGGTAGCTGTCTTCCAAATTTCTTGGCATAGACGAGTGAGCATCTCCAGCGCTGCATCCATTTGTTGAAACATCTCAGTTGGTATTCCTCAATTCCTGGAGCCTTGTTTTTTGCCACTGCCTTCAGTGCAGCTTGGACTTCTTCCTTCAGTACCATCAGTTCCTGGTCATATGCTGCCTCCTGAAATGGTTGAACGTCAACCAATTATTTTTGCTACAGCGTGTTCCTTCCATCTTCTTTTGATGCTTCCAACGTCGTTCAGTATTTTGCCCATAGAAATCTTCACTATTGCAACTTGAGGCTTGAATTTTTTCTTCAGTTCTTTCAGCTTGAAAATGCTGAGTATGGTGTTCTTCTCTTTTGGTTTTCTGACCCCAGGTCTTTGCACATGTCATTATAATATTTCACTTTGTCTTCTCAAGCCACCCTTTGAAATCTTCTGTTCAGCTCTTTCACTTCATCATTTCTTCCCTTCACTTTAGGTACTCAATGTTCAAGAGCAAGTTTCAGAGTATCTTCTGACATCTATTTCGGTCTTTTCTTTCTTTCGTGTCTCTATAATGACCTCTTACTTTCTTCATGTATGATGTCTTTGATGTCATCCTGCAACTCGTCTGGGCTTTAGTCATTAGTGTTCAACACATTAAATCAATTCTTGAGATGGTCTCTAAATTCAGGTGAGTGTGCTCAAGGTTGTACTTTGGCCTTTGTGGACTCGTTCTAATTTTCTTCAGCTTCAGCTTGAACTTGCGTATGAGCAATTGATGATCTGTTCCACGGTTGGCCCCTAGCCTTGTTCTACCTGATGATATTGAGCTTTTCCATGGTCTCTTTCCACAGATGTAGTTGATTTGATTCCTGTGTATTCCCTCTGGTGAGGTCCACGTGTACAGTCACCATTTATTTTGGTGGAAAAGGTATTTGCAGTGAAGAAGTCATTGGTCTTGCGAAATTCTATCGTGATCTCTGGCATCATTTCTATCACCAAGGCCATATTTTCCAACTACCGATCCTTCTTGTTTCCAACTTTCGCATTTCAACCACCAGTAATTATCAATGCATCCTGATTGCGTATTTGATCAATTTCAGACTGCAGAAATTGGTAAAACTCTTCACTTTCTTCATCTTTGGCCTTAGTGGTTGGTGTATAAATTTGAATAATAGTCGTATTAACTGGTCTTCCTTGTGGGCATATGGATATTGTCCTATCACTGACAGCGTTGTACTTCAGGATAGATCTTGAAATGTTCTTCTTGACAACAAGTGCAGCGCCGTTCCTCTTCAAGTTGTCATTCCCAGCAGAGTAGACCATATGATTGTCTGATTCAAAATGGCCAATATCAGTCCGTTTCAGCTCACTAATGCCTAGGATATTGATGTTTATGTGTTCCATTTCATTTTTGATTATTTTCAATTTCCCTAGATTCATACTTTGTACATTCCACTTTCTGTTTATGAATGGATGTTTGCAACTGTTTCTTCTCGTTTTGAGTTGTGCCACATCAGCAAATGAAGGTCCTGAAAGCTTAACTCCATTCATGTCATTGAGGTCAACTCTACTTTGAGGAGGCAGCTCTTCCCCAGTTGTATTTTGAGTGCTTTCCAACCTGAGGGGCTCATCTTCCAGCACTATATCAGACAGTGTTCGGCTGCTATTCGTAATGTTTTCACTTGCTAATTCTTTTCAGAAGTAGATCACCAGGTCCTTCTTCCTATTCTGTCTTAGTCTGGAATCTCAGCTTAAACCTGTCCACCATGGGTGACCCTGCTGGTATTTGAATACCAGTGATATAGCTTCTAGCATCACAGCAGTACGTAAGCCCACACAGTAGGACAAACTGACAGACATGTGTCTTAATTCTCAGTTAATGAGACACTCAGAAGGAACATAGATTTCCATATTTGACTTTCTGGGGCTCTCCTACGCTGACTGTGATTTGTTCTTTTTGCTATTGTTGCTGGTGCTGCTACATGAAAATAAGTAGAGAGTTCTCAGTTAATAAATATGACACCTCCTATGGCTGATAGTGGATCCCTGGTGGCGCAGTAGTTAAGCATTCGGCTGCTGACCAGAAGGTTGGCAGTTTGAATCTACCAGCCCCTCCTTGGAAACCGTATGGGGCAGTTATACTCTGTCCTGTAGGGTCGCTATGAGTTGGAATCAACTAGACAGCAATGGGTTTTTTTTTTTTTTTTTTTTTTTTGGTAAGGCTAATAGTAGTTAATATCAGAATTTAGCAGCAAAATTATACAAAAACCACATTACAGAAATAGAGATCTTGCTACCTCTAAGTAGAATTGTGTTATAATATAGGTTCAGTTGTATTTGGTATAGGAAGTAAGCTGTAAACAGTATCTGTGTGTGCTTCATAACCAAATCTGTTGGTTTGTATAGTTGTAAAGTATAGCTGAATTGCCTTATAACTAAATTTTGTTATATTTTAATGAAATATTAACCACATAAATTAACCAATCTTCAACCTGAAGTTTTCAAGTCAAGAAATAGTTTACTCAGCAAATGTCTATATATATTTCCCTTATTTTATGGAGAAAAAAAATCCTTACACAATTAGCTGGACAAGGCATTTCTATAAAAAGAAATTACTTTCACATTAACTTTCCCTCCCTTGGCACCTCCCTCTCTAAACTGGGTTTCACAAGGTTGGGGCTTGCTTTGTGTTTTGTCACACTACTGAATCCTCAGTGCCTAGAAGATGGTCGTTCAATAAATATTTGTTGAAGAATTGTACTTTTTCTATCATTTTATTAGGTCTTCCCACGGGGGAGAAATAAAATTAACTGACTTATCTGAGCTGCTTCAGTGAGAACCAATCCCCAGCAAGAACATTCCAGACTGGGGCCCAGTCATAACTCGACCGCGCAGATTACATGCTAAGCTAAATTTACGACATTCAATCCCAGCTCCCAGACTCATAAGCAGAGGTTTTCTAATGCAGAAGTATATTCCACTGAGTATGTGTATGGATGTGTATCCAAAGGAAAAACATTTTTATACATGTTCTATATTTTGTTTATTTTCAATCATGTTAAACTAGAACCAGTTGGGTGGTACCTTTTGCAATAACCAGCCCCCAGCAGGGTGTTGGCAGAGAAAATCTATCTGAGCCAGTTGGCCAACCAGCAAAGCC